CCAAGTGTAAAGGTTCGATTGTCTGTCCATGTTTGTTGTGTTGGAGTGTTTAAAAGTCTTTTGAGATAACTATATCCATCAGAGTTCTGAATTCCAGTGGAGAAAAGACTCAATTTTGGACTTCTTGTGGTGATAATATTTTCCTCGCCCAGTTCTGTCATCGATTTTCTCATCTTCACAAAAATAATGTCCTTGAAGTTTGAAACGAATCCAAAAACATAGGACTTGTAGCTATCTTTGAGTGCCCTAAACATGTAATCACAAAGCTGGCCAAGGATATGTGGTGTTTCAATCACTTTTGTATCCTTTTTCAATTCTAAAAAAACCTAGCGCCAAATGTTCTATTGCTCTGGGATCATTTTCTGTTAGGTTAAACATTTTGGGAATAAACGTAAAGTCGGGCTTTCTGTTATGAATAATAGTTTTGTTTGTATCAACGGCTGTATATACTGTGGAAATTTCATTTGAGAACAGTTTTTTAAAGAACTGGTGGACACGTGTTTCTTTGTCCAAATTTTTTTCATTGATTGTTAGAGAAATCATGTTTGAACTACTTGCTTGATCATTACTATTGATTTGTAATGCTGGAATAGTACTATTGTTGAATTGTGTTGATTCTTCTTCACTCTGAAATTTTTCAACAGAGACTGAAAGACGTTGATACAACTCCGATGAGGTTATTGTACTTTCTTCAGTCGTTACTCGATTTTCCAATTTCATTCTCTTTGTCTGTTCTTCCATCTCCTTTCTCTTTGTCTTCTCCTTTCTCTCCTTTCTCTTTGTCTTCTCTTTTCTCTTTCCGTCAAATACGTCAAATATTTTATGTACGCCCCCAATTTTTCGGAATTTAATTGGGCAAAGAGACGCTGGGACCAATCGTCAGACATTTTTAATTTTTTAAAAAATATTGAATATGAATACATCACAACGATTGATTATTGTCCAAACCAGAAACAACATACGGAACATGATTGAATGCAGTGACTCCAATCAATAAATAATTTCCCAATATTTTAGAATATTCCTAGTGTCAATGAAGCGGTCTTGGCCGAGTGGTTAAGGCGTTGGACTTGAAATCAATGGGGAAACCCGCGTAGGTTCGAGTCCTGCAGACCGCGGCTATATTTTTTATATAATGTCCTTGGCTATTTGAATTGAATTGATTGTTAATTTCAAACAAAAAACACACCCACATCATCTTTGCTTTGACATTTCTTCGTCATGAAAAGAACAAAGCAAGCCTTTTCATCCCAAACAAAGCAGGAGGTCTGTGCTCTAAGGAAGCGTTTTAAAACGTTAATGAAGTACTTAAATCCACCTATGAGGGTTATATCTTTTATAATTCTGATGTCTTTATAAGCTGATATCACTCTATGTTTATCTTAAGTATAGATATAATTTATTTGGGTGGCATTTTAAGAACGATTTATTGCCATAGTTCACTTTCAGGTCTAAAGTAATGAACTTGAAATCTATAAAAAAGGAGGCTTATTAAAACAAAACCTCCTTGTTGAGATGGTGACCAACAAAATCAAAGCAGCGCAGAATATCCAAATAGAGAGTCTTTATCAAAAAGTGATGACATGTACTTCAAACGAAGTGGTTTTGGCACTCATTTCAAGGATACGGAAAACAAATACTTTCCAAAATCTATCGGTACCTTAGATTTCTTTTCCGTTAATGTCAGAAACTTATCGATCTTTTACCTCGATCGTTTTGGATTGTTGGACTCACTTCAATTCAAAAGGAATCCTTAGACACTCTTAAAGACCTTGGGAAAATAATTACTTATGGTGACGGCCAGAATAAGAATATCTTAAGTGTCAGTCAAAAAGATATTCATGGTGAGTTTCTTTGCATGTGCTTTGTTTTCTAACGAATCATATTCGTTAGCAATTCATTTATTAAGGTGGTGACTCAACATCAGCATGGAATGTCCACTTCAATTATTTACGAATCAAAGGAAGTGTTTTCTTTCCGTTTCTATGGACCTGGATTGGTACATTTACCGATGAAATTTTGAAAAAGAAGAGCAAGGATGGTGACTCAACATCAGCACCTGTATTTCTCTCACTTCCAGTTCATTATGACAACAATCCAAAGGAAGAAAAGGAATTGTTGTTTTAGATCCCAGTATTCAATTCCCTTAGTAACAAACTAGAGGAGCAGTTTGTAATGCTGAAAGACATTTCATCCATTTTGGTCCATTTCAGAGAGCCTGACTTGCATTTCTGTGGAGAGTATTGTGTTGTTGCCTCCAGCATTGTCCTTGGAACCAAAAAGCATTAGAAACTGAACTCATAAATAGCATGTCCGATCATAGTACCTAAAGCAACCGTGGAAACAATATTTCCCATAATACCAGAACCTCCGCTTTGAACAGGAGCTTGTTGATATTGTGGTGGTGGTGGGGTTGTGGTTTGTTGTTGAGGTCTAGCTTGTTGTTGTGGAGTGGATGAGGTGGAGTAATTTCTAGTTTGTTGTTGTGTGGGTGGAACTTGGTGAGAAGAAGAATGAGAGGATGAGGATGAAGAGGAGGATCTTCTTGAAGCACCAGTAAATCTACTTTTGTGCCATGGTTTGTGTGATTTCTTGTGAGTATGTGATGAGGGTATTTTTTTTTGAATAATAAAAATAATTTACAACTGAATGTTCCTTTTGAAGATCAGTGGCGATGAAATGCCCAAAAATTCCGAATTGATTGAGAGAGTGTGGACGCACCAACGCGCGCACGTGTGTGTGTCTCAAAGTGATTGAATGAATGCGTGGTCCTCATTCCGAAGACTCTTTAATTCATCAATCTCAATGTTCAATACAGAAGTGAACAGAGGATCGTCATCAAATGGGATTTCTCTCTTCAATTCCTTCATGAACGAACCTTATCATCTCACCCTCAAAGGATCTCCAGTTTACAACCTCGCTTATTTTCCGACGAGAAAAGACCTGAAAAAAGCGAAAAAATATTTATTGCTTGGAATTGCCTTCATTCCTCATCGCGCCCTTCTCATCATGACGCACAAAACACGTGCCGTTATTGTGGCAGCTCAGAGAACACCTATCGGTTCCTTCCTTGGAAAACTTTCTGGCTTTGATGCTCCCAAGTTGGGATCATTGGCCATTCGTTCCGCAACACAAAAGGCTGGAGTTGCTCTTTCCGAGGTGCAAGAAGTCATCATGGGAAATGTAGTCTCAGCAAATTTGGGTCAGGCACCTGCTCGTCAAGCAAGTATTCATGCCGGACTCCTGAAAGTGTTGTTTGTACAACTGTGAATAAGATGTGTGCATCGGGCATGAAAGCAGTCATGTATGGAACTCAAAACATTGAATTGGGCATTCATAATTGTGTGGTTGCTGGTGGTTTTGAATCCATGTCCAATGCTCCATATTATATTCCACAGGGTCGATCAGGCTATCGATTGGGTGATGGTAAATTGGTCGATTCAATTCTTAAGGATGGTTTGACTGATGCCTATAATGGCGAGCATATGGGTTGGTGTGCCGAACAAACAGCCAAATTATATAAAATTACACGTGAGGAACAAGACGCCTATGCTATTGAATCCTATAAAAGAGCTGCTGAAGCAAATGAGAAGGGATACATGTCCGAAGAATTGTTCTCCATTGCTTTGCCATCCAAAAAGAAGGGAGACCCAATTCAATACATTCAACACGATGAAGAGTTTACAAATATTAATATGGACAAGGTTCCACAATTGAAACCAGCATTTGTGAAGGAAAATGGTACTGTCACTGCTGCTAATAGCTCAAAATTATCAGACGGTGGTGCTGCTTTGATTTTGATGAGCGAAGAGAAAGCAAAGAAGGCTGGTATTAGACCAATTGCAAGAATTTTGGGATATGGAGATGCTGAAAAGGCTCCAATTGATTTCACAACTGCTCCATCTTCAGCCATTCCAGTGGCTTTGAAGCATGCAGGAGTTTTGCAAAGCGATGTCAATTTGTGGGAAATCAATGAAGCATTCAGTGCTGTTGCTTTGGTCAACATGAGACTTTTGGGATTGGATGTCAGTAATGTCAACATTTTCGGAGGAGCTGTTGCATTGGGTCACCCAATTGGTTGCAGTGGTGCTAGAATTCTCTGTACTCTCATTAGTGCTTTGAAGCACAGAAAACAACAAGTGGGTTGTGCTGCCATTTGCAACGGAGGAGGCGGTGCTAGCTCTGTTGTTATTGAATTGCTCTAAATCAACCTGTGATTTGAATTACATTAAAATGATTCCTATTTTGAACAATCGAGTTTGTGAGGGAATGTCATTTACTTTGAAATATTGAGTCATGTCGCGAAAATGAAACATTACCTTATGAAAGAATAACACTCTTGTCCACATCATGGCCAATCAAGCACAAATTTACGAAAGTTCTCTCTTGCATTCTGAACTCTCTTCACAGAACAAACACGAAATCAAGTTACTGGTTCTTCTGTCGAGTGTACCATTCAAGGTTGTGCTTTTCTTTTCGATTTGGTGGTGTGATAATCTCTTCATGAAGAACTTGGAACCTGCTCTCGAGCATCACCAGTTGGACATTTTAAGCGACAGTTGTAATACTTTCGTCGTTCACGTCAAAAAAATTAACGTTACCAACTTGTTCTCACCACTCACATAAAAATGTCAGCTGCCAATAACTCTGGTATGGAGGAATATAAACTCGCCGTTGGTAAGTTGATGATGGTGATAATTAACTTGTAATGATGGCGAACATAAACACTCGTAATAACACTCTCCAAATGTGTGTTGACGAACAATTAACAACAACAACAATTACAACTCAACCACAAAAACCACAACAATAACAACCACAAACACACCTATGGAACATCATTCCACACATGTGATATCACGCCTTCTTGACTTTATTGTCATTATTATTAATACATTGACTCAACCATAACAATAACAACAATCACCACATCAACAACCACTCGTTCGTCTCTCTTCAATTTCAACCCTAACAACAACAACAACAACCAAAATCAATCACCACCACCATCATTTGGGTTGAATAATGGCCTCTCCACTCCACCCATCATGATAATGATGATGATAATGGCATCAATGAATCCTCACCAACATGATGGTGGTTGGTCTCAACAGTCGGTGGAGGTGGTGTCGGTAAAAGTGCTCTCACTGTCCAATTCATTCAAAACATCTTTGTCGAAGAATACGATCCAACCATTGAAGACTCTTATAGAAAGCACGCCAAAGTGGATGATAAACCATGTTTCTTGGAAATTCTTGATACTGCCGGACAAGAGGAATACAAAGCTTTGAGAGATCAATATATGAGAACTGGTGATGGTTTCTTGTTGGTCTATTCCGTAATTGATAGAAAGACTTTTGAGGAAATTAATGATTTCTATGAACAAATTTTGAGAGTGAAGGATGCTGAGAAGGTTCCTATGGTGTTGGTAGGAAATAAGGTAAGTGTTGTTATTATTATTGTTATGGGAATCATCATCCTTCCATCCTTCCATACATTTCTCCAATCATTCCAATGGGTTTTAAATGTATTTCGTCGTGTTGGTGGTTGGCCAATTAACAATTTTCATTGGCGATGATGATATCCTTTTCATCACCATTATGATTCTAACCCTATCCGATTGAACCTCTCATGAATGATGAATGAATGAATCATCATCCCCATTCTGTCTCAACAACAATTTTCTAAATATTTAGTGCGATTTGGAATCTGAAAGAGTCATTAGTGCCGATGAAGGAAAACAATTTGCCAAGCAATTAGGTATTCCATCCTTGGAAACCTCTGCCAAACAGAGATTGAATGTGGATGAGGCTTTCATGGCATTGGTTCGTGAAGTGAAAGTCCAAGCCAAGCAATGCCGGACCAACCAAAAACCATCTGGTGGAAAGAAGGGTTGCAATTTGTTGTAAATTCTCTCTCTTTCGAGATTCTGAATCGTCTTGTTGTAAAACGTAAACTCGTTTCGTTTTCAAAAATTGTATCATAGTACACCATCTTTGATCATAATATCTTCTATACGAAAATAAATTGAGATTGATCAAGAGTTTTACAGCAAGAATAATATTGCATGCACTCGGTCATGACAACATTTGCCTCAAACCTCAATGTGGTGGTGCTGAGACAATTGCTCATTGTCACCTATTATTCATGTTGTTATGGAACATGTCGAGACAAGTCAAAATGTACAAGGAGGAATTCTCGTCAGTGCAAAAGAATCCCATCATGTGCCATTGTTGAAGAGTTCATGGCGTTTATTGAGGTCTATTCGTAATGTGTGGTTGAAAGAGTTTTTGTTCACCATGGCGTTTGATTGGTTTATTGAAGTCTATTATTTCTCATGAGACTTTGATAGTTGAACGAAGTAGGAGAAGGAGATTCATTGAAGGTCGAATTCACATCCGAGTGAATGACAGAGAGATCCAACGAGGACATGGAAGTCTTTGGATTTCTCTGAATATTGGCTGGAATTTTGTGAAAGCCAAATTTCTTTGCCAATTCTGTTGGCTCTTCAGGTGGCACTAAAAATCCACATTTACATAAAAAGTGATAATAGGTGGTCATGAGTTCGATCACCTTTGGACAAGTGACACCCGAATTTTCAAGACCTTCCAAAGTGTGTGTATTGTCATACCATGGACGTTTTGCAGTCATTTTGAGATCATAGTCATCAGTAAAGTAGGTCACTAATGGATACAAGACATTTTCTTCTTCACCAGTGCTTAATTCCTTCTTTTCAACTGTTTGTTGATAAAGTTTTTCTTTCCATTCCTTAAATGGTAATGGTAAAAGTTTGAATCCTAATTTTCTACCAGTTTCGAATAATGAATTAAAGAAGAATTCATGAGGATTCACCAAGTGGTATGCTTGATGTTTTACCACACTATCCATGGTCCTCGACAAGTACACAATAGCTCCTGAAATAAAATCGACAGGTGACATGTCAAGTTTGCTTGTTGGCATGTCTGGATAGTAACCCATTTGAATACATCCCTTAATCATTCGACATAAAAAGTCATCTGGATTCCACACACCAGTCTTACTATGACCAGTAATATAACCAGGTCGATAAATACACACAGGTAATCCTCTCATTCTTGCATTCATACATAATTTTTCAGCGACATATTTGGATTGAGGATAACCAGTCAAATCTTCATGATAGGGCAATGAGGAGTCTTCATAGACATCAGTAAATTCCTTGTATTGTTCCGAATCAAAGACAGAAGTGGTGCTGACATAGTGCACAGGTGTTAACTTTTTACCACCACAGGCCATTTTGAGAATCTCGCGGGTTCCATTCACGTTGGGAGCTTTCAATTTTTCATAGCTGTAGAGCCAGTGAACCGCAGCACCGTTGTGAATAATAACGTCAATGGTGTCGCTCAATTCTTCGAACTTGATAGGGCTTAATCCCAAGTAAGGTTTTGTTAAATCTCCCAAGACGGGAATGATACGTCCCTCCACAATTTCAGCCAAATTCATCTTATTCACTAAATTCATACTTTCACGTTCTTCTTGTTGATCCATCTCTTTGGAGGTCCATAAAAAGTGATAACTCAATAAACTTTCCAAAATACGTTTACGGGCCTTTTCTTCATTGTCAGCTCTGACGAGACAATAAATTCTTGCACTCGTCTTCTTTAAAAAGTCAGCCAATAAAAGGTTCCTAAAAATCCAGTGCAACCCGTGATGAGAATATCCTTTGGATTTTGCCAAGTTTTAGATAGGGAAATAAAATCATTAAAGTTAAGTTGATGGTGTGGACGAATAGAGGCCTCCAAGTGACAATCAGAAGAGACATCGGTCACGTGTGTCTTACTCACTCCTTTGCCACTTCTTAATTGTTCGATGGCCACAGCGAGGGCGCTCACTGTTGGTGCCTTAAATAACAATTCGACCGGTAATTTAGAAGCTCCTTCCACTTGTTGTCTAATCTTTAAAGTGAGTGTTGTGGCATTGATGGAGTGACCACCGAGATCAAAGAAATTGTCATGAATACCAATTCCTTGACCAGAACTTCCTTGTAAAATTTCACCCCAAATGGTCACTAATTGTTGTTCGAGGTCATTTCTTGGAGCTACATAGGTTTCTTCGTCTTGTCGTTGATCGGTGGAAGTAGAAGCACTCGTTTCAGGTCTTGGTAAATCTTGTTTCTTAATCTTTCCGTTTGGTGTTAATGGAATCTTGTCTAATGGAACAAAGTAAGATGGAATCATGTAATCTGGAAGTTTGCTTCTCAAATATTGTCTCAAGTCTTTAATGATGGTCTTGATGATACTCGCTCTCAAACCACTTTCCATGGTAAAATAGTTTCCATAAATGGTACTCTTTTCAATTTCTACTTTATCCAAAACAAAGTAGGTGACAATACGTTTTTCATTGGTTCCAGGAACACAATCTTCTCTCACAATGGTCACTGATTCCTTGACCAATTCATGGCTATTGAGAGCAGTGTTAATTTCTCCCAATTCAATTCTGAAACCTCTGATTTTAATCTGATCATCGGCTCTTCCACTGCATTCAGCGTCTCCACTAATGAGATATCTTCCCAAGTCACCCGTTCTGTACATTCTGTCAATGTATCCTGTGGTGAGGAAAGGATTTGGAATGAATTTTTCTCTCGTATCCTTTTCCTTTCCTTTGTAACCTTGTGAAAGGTGAGGACTACGCATATAAATTTCACCCATTTCACCAATTCCACACAACATGAATTTGTCGTCTCGTGAGGTGAATCTGGAGAGAGTCAATGCTTGAACGTCTAACATTCCTCTACCAATTGGAATAATGTCCTTCAATCTTTCGAAAGGAATTCCTGTTTCCATACATTTTCACCAGGTCTTGGAACCATATAGTACGTGACAGAACGTTGAGTCTCTGTAGAGCCGTACAAGTTAATGACTCGAACAATTGGAGAAATGTCACACAAACGTTTCACAAACTTCTTTGAGAGCACATCACCAACAAAGAATGCATATCTCAAATGATTCAATTTGAGAGGTTCTCCAGTGCTGGTGGTAGCAATACTGGCAGCACTGGTTAATAATTGACCCATGGCAGGTGTCAAACAACTCACTGTAATTTTCTTTTCTTCAAACCACTCTGCAAGACGACCAGGATTGACAATATCTTCATTGGTTGGAATATACATGGTACAACCCAGGAACCATGGTGTGAAAATATCTCTTTGGAGAGGATCATGACTGATACCACTTTGCATACTAAAGACATCATTTTCACTCAAGTTAAATCGTTGCTTCATCCAGGGATAGTAGTGAGTGAGAGGTCCATGTCGACCGAGAACTCCCTTTGGAATACCTGTACTACCACTTGTGTAGGTACACACTGCAAAATCATCTTGTGTAATTTGTACCTTGTCACGCCATTCAGGATCTGAGCTCAAATCAGTGTCTGCATAATCCGCATAGATTTGTTCAGAAACACTCTCTGTAATGGATTTGAGAGAGACCACAAATCGAACAGTGGACTTGGTTTGAATGTACTTGACGACTTCTTTTGGAAGTGGACCAGAGGCTTCAATCAAAATGACAGCAGATGGAGAGGACACTTCCAAGCAAGTAATAATTCTGTCTGCTGGATAAGCAGGATCTAACATGTTAAAAACTGCTGCACATTTCAATGTAGCCAAAATTGCCAATACTACAGGGCAGCTTCTGTGACCAAAAATGGTGACAACTTCTTGTCTTTTCAATCCATTGGCAAGTAATTGACGAGCTAATTGATTGGAAAGCTTATTTAAGGTTTCATATGTTACAGATTCTTTGCTATCAACCATGGTAATTCGTTGGGGTATTTTCTTTGCTTGTTCTTGGAATACTTCATGAATTGCTCCATAGAAATCGTTATTCAAAGGTTTATCTGGATGTGGAAGGACTGTCTTGGCATATTCTGTCACAAGTGACACATCAAAAATCGATTGTATTGGTTCTGAAACAAGTTGTTTAGCAGCCAACTTCAATTGATTCAACATGTCTTGCATTCTGAGTTCTGTGAATAAATTAGTTTGATACGAAATGCTCACTTGATTTGTTTTAGTATCCAAATGCAAATGCAAATCAACATTAGAGATTGGGAAAGGAGAAGAGGAAGCGTTGACCAAATTGTAAGGGCCATCGTACGAGCTGAAAGAAACTTGAACTAGAAGAGTAGTATCCACTTTTCCTTGTTTTTGTTCAACCTCCGAAAGGATATTCTGAACATTTCCGAATTGTGACAAATTGCCAACAGAGTCACTGAAAGCCCCTTGAATGTTTGACAATAACTTTTTAAAACTGTACTCCGTGGTCGACTTTTCTCGGGAAATTCCCTCAAATGTGTCTTCGTCAGCAGATGGCATTGGAATATTTGCAGAGACGATGAAAGAGTCACGTTCTGTGTTTTCATCTTGCAAAATACCAATCAAAAATGTCTCTTCATAGGTATAACGAGCGAGAAGTAATGCAAAAACAGACAATACAAAAGTGTTTCTTGTGAACGATTTTTGAGCTTCGGAATCTGTCACTTGTAAAAACTTGTCTTTAAAGGACTGACTGGAGAGTACATCATCTAATGAAATAATTTCCTTCAATTGTTCGTATTGCAAAATTGTGTTTGAGTTGGTCTCATTCTCATCCATCATTGTTCGAGGAAAATCTGTTGGCAATTTCAAACTTTGGTTTTGGTTGATGAGAGAGGACCAAAAACTCAATTGTTTCTCTTTCAATAATGAGGCTGCCATTGTTTGTAAAAAGGTTCAACTGTGTGATGAAGAAGGTCAAATAATGAATGTTTAAATTTTCAATTAAAACTTTACAACGCAAGAGTTTCTTTCAACAAGATGCACAATGAATGAAGGAATGGACGGACTGATGAATGGGCTGATTCTGATATCACCAACGAGGAGAAGCAAATTGTTGTACAAGATTCGTCTCAAGGCGTTCTTCAAGACAATCCAAGACTTGTGTCGACTGACTGCAGCAAAGAGAGCTCTTCTCGCGTTTTTTTGTTCTTGTTTCAAAAAAAAATTCCATAATTTCGCGAAGGTGGGAAAACCTTTTGGTGAGTGGGTAACTTTTGGAAAAATTCCCTGCTTCGTTCGTGGCTCTGATAAAGTCCCGATTGGTGATTTGTCATAAGCTGGGTTGTTCTATGAGCTTTGAATGAAATTCTCCAGAAGCATGATTGTAATGATCTGTTTTAAGAGATTGTAAGAGGGATGAAAAGCTCACAAGTAAGGTTTAATGATGATGTAAGCAGAGAGCGAGAAGACCTTGTTTGTTCTTTTAAGGATCTCGGAAAGGTATTCGGTATAGGATCAGGTGGAGGAGGAACCTTACTAGTTCTGTTTGATTCAATCAAATCAAGCAAGCCTTAGATCAAAATGTTTCAAGAAAAAGATCTCGTAAAGATATTTGAAATTTTCCGAGTGAAGACTAAGCAAAAAGGTCTTTTAACAACAACTTGTTGATTTATTGAAGTACATATGCCACTAAGGTCAATTTAGAAGCACTTTCTGTGGACAATACCTGGACCGGCATCCTCATATTCTTCCTTGGTGATCCACATTTGTTGGAAGGTGGACAATGAAGCCAAGATGGAACCTCCAATCCAGACCGAGTACTTTCTTTCTGGTGGAGCCACAACCTTAATCTTCATGGAAGCAGGAGCCATGTTGGTCAATTCCTTGGTCATTCTCTCAGCAATACCTTCAAACATGGTAGTACCACCAGACAAGACAACGTTACCATACAAATCCTTTCTGATATCAATATCACACTTTCCAATCGAGTTGAAAGTAGTTTCATGGACACCAGCAGCTTCCATACCAATGAAGTTTGGTTGGAACAAAACTTCTGGACATCTGAATCTTTCATTTCCAACAGTAATCACGTTACCGTCTGGCAATTCATAAGACTTTTCAACGGAGGATGATTCAGCAGCAATCTTCATTTCTTGTTCAAAGTCCAAAGCAATATAACAGAGCTTTTCCTTGATATCTCTGACAATTTCTCTCTCAGCAGTGGTATTGAATGAGTAACCACGTTCCATGAGAATCTTCATCAAGTAATCAGTCAAATCTCTACCAGCCAAATCCAATCTCAAAATAGCATGAGGCAAAGCATAACCTTCATAAATTGGAACAGTGTGAGAGACACCATCACCAGAGTCCAAAACAATACCAGTGGTACGACCAGAAGCATACAAAGACAAGACAGCTTGAATGGCAACATACATGGCTGGAACAGAGAAGGTTTCAAACATGATTTGAGTCATCTTTTCTCTGTTAGCCTTTGGATTCAATGGAGCTTCAGTCAACAAGACTGGATGTTCCTCTGGAGCAACTCTCAATTCATTGTAGAAGGTGTGATGCCAGATCTTTTCCATATCATCCCAATTGGTGACAATACCGTGTTCAATTGGATACTTCAAAGTCAAAATACCTCTCTTGGATTGAGCTTCATCACCAACATAGGCATCCTTGTTACCCATACCAACCATGATGGACTTTTGCTTTGGTCTACCAATGATGGAAGGGAAGACAGCTCTTGGTGCATCATCACCAGCGAAACCAGCCTTACACATACCAGATCCGTTATCAACTACGAGTGCTTGAACGTCGTCACACATTTTGTTGTTCTTGTTGGAGAGGAAGTTGTTGTTGAGTTTTTGTTTTGTTGTGAAAATGTCTTGATGATCGGGTTGCGTTTTATTGTGAATTGATGCCTGTCAACTTGACGAAAAATGACACCCCATCAATCATTCTTGGTGTTTACAATGGCAACCCGGTACCAGTTGTCATTTGACACGATATTTGGAGATGATCAAGGAAGTGAGCACTTGAATTTGAAGGACAGGTATTGATGGGCATGAGAGCTTTCAAATTTGCAGTAATACAAAGATTTCAAAAGGGAATCGATGTAAGAGACCGGAAACATCGGTTCTGCATCTAACAACACTAGATTCACATTTTAAGGATTTTTCTGATTCAGAAATCAAGGACCTCTTAGGATAAGAGCACTCCAAGCTTATAAGCTGCAACCTTGATAAACAAAGTTTCTTCACAGATGTCAGACCCGCTTTCAAGAAAAAGTTGAATTTTCACAAAAAAATGACCAAAAGAAATCGAAAGCCTCCTCGAAAGCTACATCATCATCCACAGAGCAAGCCTCTTCATCCTCAACAGCATCTTCTTCCTCCGAATCTACTACTGCGGTTTTCGATGGAGCTATTGGAATTGATTTCGGTAATCATAACTGCACCGTTGCCTATTTTAACGTACAACATTTGCTTTCATCATTTCCAAATTTAAATTCATCATCGGCTTTAACTTCCTCATCTCCGAATAAGCCTTGTTATGCTGCTACGGTGATTCAACCAGTTCAAAATATGAACAGCCATGTGGTTATTATACAGAATGAAGATGGTGCTCATCATACACCTTCCGTGATAAAGGTGAACACAATCATCGAAGGAGAAGGAACAGATAATGAAAAAACAAGAGAGGAAATCATTGTAGGATTTCCTCCTCTTCCTGGAGCATCACTCGCTCCAGACCAAGTTGTTTCCGATTTGAAAGAATTCATGCTGGAGGATGAAGAAAGAATGAAGAAGGAAAATACGGAATCTCCAGAACGAATTGCGTTCAATGGAGAGGAATATTCTCAGGATTATATGGTCAGCTTGTTATTGGGAAAGATGAAAAATATTGCAGAACATTATTTGGGAAAGAAAGTGAAAAAGGCAGTGATCAGCTGCCCTTCGAACTCCTCACATTGTGAAGCAGTCATTCGGAAAGCATGTGACCTGTTGGACATGAAAGTTTTAACAATTCTCAAAGAACCTATTGCAGCCTTAATTGGTTACGGATTTGATTTACCCAAGCCAAATGAAGGAGCAAGGAAAGTTTGTGTGATTGACGTTGGTGCTTTGGAGACAAATATTTCAATCGTAAAAGTGGCAGAAAATGGCCTATTTGAAATGATTAAGAGTGAGTCGAAACGACCATTGGGTGGAGAATCCATTGACCAAGTTATGATTCAAATGTGTCTCCAGGAATTTAAGCGACTCTATTACAAGAATATGTCTGAGTCAATGTTCCAACAAGAAGTTGGAAAAAATAGAAAAGTCCAAAACAAACTAAGAAGATCATGTGAAAATGCCAAGATAGTGCTATCGAATAATCAACAAGCCATGATTGAAATTGATTCACTATATGATGGTTTAGATTTCCAATTCAAAATCACTCGTGCACGATTTGAAAGCTCAGTCATGTCAATTTTTGCAAGTATCATTGAACATGCAAGACAAACAGCGGACTCATTGGCAGAACAAGATTACTCGTTTGCATCCATTACCGACGTTGTTCTTGTTGGAGGCTCTTGTCAGATTCCCAAATTAAGAGATAGTATTCAAACATTATTTTCTCAAGCCAAAGTGCATGATTCGGCAGTTGAAGATAGTATAGCAATAGGGTGTGCCATTCAAGCACATTTGATGCACATGTACTCGCATTTAATGAACAACAAAACCAACTAGAGAGAGTATTCTTATTAATGAACATTTCTAATTACTTTCATGCGAAATAATTAATGAACTACTGAATGAGTTATTTAATCTTCTTAAGATCGTCCAATGCTTGCTCAATAGTTTTTATCATTTCTTGATCATTTTCTAGGAGATAGTTCTTTAACACAATTTCATACTGTTCTGCTGCCTTATCTTTCTCTCCTGTCACATTTTTGTAATACTCTGCCAACACAACTCTGGCTTCAGTTGTCCGAGGAGATGGATCAATTTCGATGGCTTTTTGCAGTCATGTGCCACTCGTTCAATATATTGTGTCGAAGTTGGATCACTGTGTGGAATACCTTCTTTACATCTCTTCAAAAACTTGTCGTAATAAACCATGGACCGTTGAGTGTACAAAGTTGGAATTGGGGAATGCTCGCTAATTGTAATTGCTTCATTCAAATACTCGAGTGCTTTGTCAGAGTCACCAGTGGATTGACCTTGGGCTGCTTTCGCTCCCAGTTCTGTAGCTCGATCATAGAGGGATTGGAATTGTTGAAGCGTTTGGATCTGTAATTTCAACTCTTCAATGTAATTGTGCAAGTCAGGATGTGAATCACGTAAATGTGGATGTGAATCCAAAAGTGCGCTCGCTCTTTCAATATCAGAAGTCGAGCCATTCAAATTCTTTGAATGCATTCGGCACACTGCACGTCTGACATAGCCCTCAGCAAGAATATCTTTTGAGATCATGGACTCATTTTCTGGTTTTTCGAAATGCTCTACAAATAAGGTGAAATCCCGTTCAGCATTGTTCAGAAACACTGAGCTACTGGACGAATTGGCCATTTCAGACATGAATGTCTCTGAAAAGACTCTTCCTCTCACATAATAAACGTAATAGTCAAGAGTGAAATCGGTAATATTATTCTTCTTGGCATATTGGATCGAGTCTTCGATATACCTCTCGCAGTCCATGAGACAATTGTTGAGAACTTGGAGAGCGTCGTCATTCCACTCTGAATTAATTTTCACAGAGAGTGTGTTGCCAACTTGTGATGTATCATTATTGGTTCTTTCATTTGATGTTTCAGCTGAATTTGACTCTTCAGAAGCAGGACTTTCTTCTTCAATATTCATGGCGGCTTCACTATCTTTCATTTCATCAAACAATTCCAAGTTCAATTCAGCTCGTTTTAGAAATTTAACTGGAACTGCATTGTTTAAATCAATAGATTTTGAAATATGATGTAAAGCCATTCTCAAATCTGATTTGACAATTCTCAAATAGGTTGCATATGCAAAATTCACTTCGTCACTCTCAGATCCAGACTCAAGAGCTTTGGCATAATCTTGTTCCATAATTGTAGAATATTGTTCTTTTTCTTTTGGACTTTGTGCTCTTCTCCACAACACCATAGCAGCGCTTGCTCGTCGGCACAAAATCGAAATGTTCAACTCCTTTGCTGCTTCAATAATTTCAGCAATAGGATCTCCAAGAAAAGTTTCTTGTTTTTTGGACAAGTCTTTCAACATGATCATCAATGTATCAATTTGGGCAAGAAGAGTAGTAAAAGCATTGACATTATCATAAATTCGATATGCAATCGGAATTGATTTTTGAACAATCATAAATAATTCATAGATTGGTTTTTCTTGCTCATTGAGAACAATCTGTTGTTCTTCTGATTCTCCTCCTTGAGATGAAGATTGATTCAAGCTCCGAGTCGAGTAATGGAAATTTCTGAATATTGTGAATGATGATGAAGATAAGGCTTGATGATGATTCAAAAATTATTATTTAAAGCATTCAAACGTGGATGAAAAATCATTGCATGCCATGTTGATGAACAATAGTGTTTTTGCTTGCCTTTCCGATCATCATCATCATTGTGTTATTACTGTGATGGAACAAGAATCCTTGTCGAGACATTTTTTTCAAGTTCTAAAAATTCATTCTCGGTTTTAAGAGGTCATCCCTTCTTTGATCGACTCAATATCTACGAAAACTATTGTTCTCTGAGAGAATCACAAACGAGAATAACAAGACTCTTAGACAGCACAACCCCTAAGTGTATCTCACACGCACTCCATTCCTTTTGAGAAAATACTCCAAGTGTGTACATTAAATCCTCCAGAATGCTCTTGGATTGGCTTGCAATCACAAACCACACATCAGTGCATTTGGAGAAGTTTATGGATGTTGTTTTGACAGTTCAAAGCATTCACAAGTTAAGGTGATTTATCGAACCATGATTGTGGTATTTAAGCAGCATAAAATTGGTAAAAGGCTCGAGATTGCGTCGAGTAAGGCTTGACATCCTTTTGGCGTTGTCATTTACATTAAATATGGAGATTTTTAAAGTGTCACTTGTCGATAGGAATGTGGTTCGAGTGAGCACCTTGGCTGTTTGATTTAAATGTCTGTTTTGTGAGAACAGAAACAAACGCCTAGGTGTGTTTGGCTTGTAATTAAATAGGAGGATTCCCAAATATGGTTCTGTCTTGTTCTTCTTCGTTGCTTCTTTCTTCTTTAAATAAATCTATTAAACGTC